AAAAATGCTTAAACAAACACTTCAAAAAAACACATGTATACCCAGAAGGATTTTTAATAAACATCCCACCCATGTCTGCTTTAAACCTAGCAATACACTGAGGCAACAACTGGTTCACCTGGTTCACCCAAAAGACCCAACGCCAACATGAGCAACATTGTGTACGCAGTCCAGTGCAGTGAAATGTATGTCGGTGAAACAACACAGAAGTTACACCAGTGTATGACACAGCATAGAAGAGTCAAACCATCTGGTTAGGATTCGGCAGTATACCTACAACTCAAGTTAAAAGGTCACTCCTTTGAAGACAGTCAAGTACACATCCTAGACAGGGAGAAGGACTGGTTTAAAAGAGGCATGAAAAAGGCCATTTATGTAAAAATGAAGAAGCCAAGCTTGAACAGAGGGGGGGGGGATTGGAGCAACATTCACCATATTTATTCCCAGATAATTTTTGTGCAAGTCATTCTGAATTGAGAAAGTCTGCACAACTATCACAACCACTGTGGCAGTTTACAGCAGCTATCTGGATATGTTTTCTTCTCGGCAGAGCCTTGGTGGCCTCTACCTAGACCACTCCGGAGGAAAAATGTGTGGCTGGCCTGTAATGTAATGTGCTAGGAGTACTCTAACCTACATGGAGCACTCACCTTGGCACTTTGTGCAGCATGTGAGTTGCTGCAGGGTGCCTTATGGTTCCAGAGGCCATGGTTCATTGTGGTAGAGCCTTGTTCCTTAAGACCCCCTTCTACAAATAGGGGTTCATGTGGTCATCGATACCTGCCTGCCTGGGAAGCCACACGACCTCTGTGCACCCCCCCTCTGAGTGCACCTGCTGTGAATGTGCCTACCATTTTCATCTCCTGGCATGTGCTGAGCTGGCTACACACACTGCCCTAATTGCTGTAACTCTGCATGCTACTGTCCAGAGTCCAGATGTCTGCTCTGGGTTTCCTCTGCTGCCAGCAGTGCTGGGACACAAGGCATTTTCCACCCCCACAGTAGTACCTGTCTCCCAAAATCTCTTCCAAGCTCAAAGAACCAATTTCTGTCCTTGTGGATGCTGTGTGTGATTGTTTGTAGTAAGAGCTATCTGTGTTGACCTAGTCAAAGGTCCCTAGCCTGGGTTCCTTTAAAAGGGCTCTCTGTGTTGTACAGTGACTTGGATCAGCCTAAAAATTGTTTATGCTTTCTAAACGATTTGTTCATCAATAGGGTTTCCTTAACAAGGGGACTGTAGATCTAGCTAACTCCAGGGTTTTACTTTTAATCTGTTCACTGTCCATATTTGGACACCCCCATTTTTTCTCCCCTGCATTAGCTCTGCTTTGGTATCAGGAGATCCCTTTATTGGGGTGCCTGGGTGGCCTTATCCTCAGAGAGTAGTCCGGAGCTTGTCATCCAGCATCATCATGGGGATACAAACTCTGCAGAGCTTTAGGAGGCTACTGAATGTCCACAAATCATTGCTGGAATCCTTCTATCACTTGGAGTACCTGGGCCTGGTCTTGAAAGTGGTCCTAACTAGGGTATTTGTTCCCCCGGAAAGATCATATCTCATCACTCTCATACTTGGACCTTAAAGTCAAAGAATTGCTCAACTATTTGCTTTTACATGAAAGTGCTGGACTTGATGGTGGCCTCCATACTGGCAATTACCTCTGCATACTTTCACTCCAGGCCATAACAGCTTAGCATTCTGGCTGCGTGGATGGTGGATCTCCAACCTAGCATTGGAATTGGGAAAAGTTTTCTTCCAATGTTCTGGAAGGTACTCACGATGGATTCCATCCAGTTTGGGTGGGGAGGATTCAAATGGTATGAGGTGGGGATTAGCAAAACAATGCCTCTTGCGTTCCTCTTGGAGCACACACTGCTGGTATCACCCATTCCAGTACATCACAAATACCAACAAATTTCCCCTACCAGGGAGTCACAGGTGCTGCATACACCCTCTCATGTAAGTAGATCACTTTATGCAGCTGTATACAGTATGTACTCTGGTACTTTGCTACACCCTTGCATGCACAAGGACATACAATTCTGTATGCAGACTGTCCCTGTCCAAATTGTGTCTGTGTGCATGCGTGGGTGTATGCAAATACCTGTGTATACCCACCTACAGGTGCATATAGTCATTGACCTATATAGGAGGATGTGCACAACATATGTGGCTTCCTGGCTGGGAAAATTCACCAGTAATTACATTTACACAGGTTAAGCAAGGTTTAGGACCTTGGACAAGTTACTATGTCCAAGAAATGTTCTATAACACAACAATCTTTATACAGTTGGAATGTTTATTGAAGGTTACAGGAGAGCAAACAAATTTGCTGCATCAAGGTTGATAATAAACATACTGTATAGGATTGTAAAGTGTGTATAAAGTCAAAATAGGTTAGTTTTATATGGTGTAGAGTAGAATTAAAACCCTGCAATGTTATTTTCTGCTGCCTGTGTCTAGCTGGTGAGATTTCCCTTGATGTCATATCCTGCAACAGGAAAGGAAAGGAAATCTCAAATAGGTGAGTTGTTATAGAAACAATTTCCCACTTCTTGCACTGGTGACAACTCTAAAATGTAGTTATGAGGATTAATAGAAAGTAAATCTCCACAGTTTCTCATTTTATTTTGTGGCTGATTTGAGGTCAGTGGTGGGTTTTTGTTTCATGTTGATAGGGCCTTTATTTGAGGTTAATCTGCTTCTTTTTTGCAGCAAAGCATCCCTTAAAAAGTGAGCTTTTGCTTCAGGGGGTATTATTTGTTTGTTTTTTTGAGTATATTATTTTATACTGTATGTTGATAGGACCTTCTTTTTAGGGTAAACTGCCAATTGTTTATTTCCCAGTTTTACGGTTGTCACCACAATATAAGGTAAGGGGTGGGGACACCAGGTCTGGTAAAACACAGAGCCAGACGGGATTACTTCTCTATTCATAGAGATTTCTTCTCACTCCCTGTTGTGTCTCTGTAACAGGAAATTAAGGGAAAGCTCTCCAATGGGACACAGGCAGGAAAAAAAGGAAACTGATATGGGTTTTGACCATTCCCTAAATTATTAATTAGAAGAAAAATGCCTAGAGATGCACTTTAACTGAACAGTAGCCGATCCTGCCATGGAACAGTATTTTTATGTGTAGTGATATTATTAGAGCTGCAGCTAACGATTATTTTCAAAATCGATTAGTTAGCCGATTATTAGGTTCGATTAATCGGTTAATCGGATAAACAATAAAATAAAGTTTAAAAAATGGCTCCAGTGATAGGACTACTAGTTTGTATTGAGGTTGTAGTCCATCACAGGAGCAAGCTTGGAGCGGTGGAAGTAAAAAAGAAAAAAGATAGTGTGGTGTGCAATATAGTGAAATGGAAAGTGTAAAATTATACAGCAATGAATGCCGAATGGCACCGGCTATAGAGGACTACAAAACCCAGCAAAAGCACATTATACAGCGCAATGCAGAATACCGCCAGCTATAGAGGAATACAACAAATCCCAGCAATAGTACTGTATTTTTCCATGTATAAGACTATACTTTTTCTTAAAATATTTACCTAAAAATGGAGGGGCGTCTTATACACGTGGGGCCTAGAGGAGAACAGTGTTTGCGAAACTGGTGATACCTCTGCAAACTAGCCTCACGAGAAACGTCCGATTGCAGAGACAAGCTAACAGGTTTCCTCCAATCATGAGCCTTACGTACCAGACGTCAGCTGATGCTGCGGAGAGTGTGTAGCCAGTGCCCAGATGCAACATGGAGCAGTAATGTCTGAGCATTCTGAGCCCATAAAAATGTCAGAAAACCAAAAAAATACCGGTACCAGTAAGCGGCTGTCTTACTCTGCAAAATGTTCACTGGATGTAATCAGTTATGCAAAAGAGCATGGGAAATATTGATTCCTGAATTTTGGGTAAGAAATGTGGGGGGCGTCCTATACATGGGGGCGTCTTATAGACGGAAAAATACGGTACATAATAGCTGGCGGCATTCTGCATTGCGCTGTATAATGTACTATTGCTGGGTTTTGTAGTCCTCTATAGCTGGTATTTAGCATTGTACCACTTTATAATGTATTATTGCTGGGATTTGTTGTAGTCCTCTATAGCTGGTGGTATTTAGCATTGTACCACTTTATAATGTACTATTGCTGGGATTTGTTGTAGTCCTCTATAGCTGGTGGTATTCCGCATTGCGCTGTATAATGTATTATTGCTGGGACTTGTAGTCCTCTATACAGCGCAATCCAGAATATCACCAGCTATAGAGGAGTACAACAAATCCCAGCAATACATTATACATATAGTGTATAATGTATTGCTGGGATTTGTATTCCTATGTATAATATACAGCACAATGTACCATCAGCTATAGAGGAATACAAATCCCAGCAATACATTATAGAGCACCATGTGTGGGAAAGTGCAGGCTTACCTGAGCAGTCTTCCAGCAACTTGCTTCTGAGATCGGACCTGTCTATCAGCGGCTGTCATCCCCCCACAACAGCTCCCCCTTACTACATCTCCCCGCGTCCCTTGCCGATTGTGGATGGGCAGGAAATGTGAGGCGGGGAGGAGGTGCGGCGTGTGGAGCGTGGATGCGAGCGGGTCTGGCAGCGGCAAGTGTGAGGTGGGGAGGAGGTGCGGCGCACAGCGTGTGGAGCTGTGAACAGGGCCAACTGATCGGAAGCCGATTAATCGATTATTGAAAAAGTTGACAACTTTTCCAATAATCGATAATAATCGATTATGTCGATTAGTTGTTGCAGCCCTAGATATTATCTGCAGTGACAAAAAGGTATCATTTTAATGCTATGATTTCATGTGGTATGGTGATGTCATCAGAATTTTGGGAGCTGAAAGTCATTTTTGCATTTGGGTCCGGAATACCTAAGTGGAAAAGGCATCCCAGTGACTCCTTTCTCGCTTCCAATTTTTATTTGTGTTTTTATTTTGCTGTCTTAATTCACTTCTGATGAATTTAACTTATTTTTCCTTTCAGTTTGCAGCTTTGTAGTTCATAAAAGATGCCATGAATTTGTCACCTTTGAATGCCCTGGTGCCGGTAAAGGACCACAAGCAGACGTAAGTACTGTGTGAATTCCCTGATGCTAGCTCCTTTACTTTAAACATTCCTCAAGAATATGCCTCTATATTATTATGCATGCAATTATAATCTGATGTGAGCATGACTGATAAAAGCTATGGAAAATGATAATCATCTGGTATTAACTAGTCACTTAAAAGTAAAACTGGGTTTATTTTTGGAATACTGAATATGCATTAACAATTTATGTGCCAAAGGGGTCAGTAAGGCATTGAAACCCATCTGGCACATGGGAATTCATTAATACACGAGAAGAAAATAGAAATTAGCTCATTAACCTTCGCTACTCCAGATAAATTATCCAACAAGATAAATAAAGTATGGCCTATGTGGATTTATGTATGACAGCAAGCAATATCCAAGTCAACATTCTGCAACATTCTGCTGAAGAAGGGAATACTGTAAATGACTAACCTATGTTATAAAATCAGAATCTCATAAACTTTTCTTCATTCTTTCCTCTTATTTCCTCTTCCTTTCTTTTATCAACCTGCAAATAAAATTACTATGCTGTGCCTTTAAAACATTTCACATTTACAAACTTTCTCTAGAGCTGATCTGACTCTTTGGAATGGTTTAACTTGTCCTATTAGGCTAGACTCTGTGTCCAAAATATTAAAGACCAACTAGCCATTTGTTTTTTTTTATTTTAGTTTCATATATTGGAGGAAGAATGAGCAACAAAACACTTTTTAGTAAAGTAGGGAAAGGCTACAACCTTTTTAGGATGTTATTGTTCTCTGTTCCTTTCTGTCCATTTGACTCCTCTTTCCCTAATTTCTTCTTTTGGTGTCTCAGAAATAGAAAGAAAGTATAATTCACCAATGGAGTCACAGACTTCAATAAACGTCTGACGATATTTTAACCAGTAGCTGTCCGGAGCAATTTCACACTATTTGCGTACACATGATAAAATATAAACTTTGGGCTAGAAAACAGCTCCAGACCCCCAGACAAGGCCCTGTAGAATTAACAAATGCTATTTGTTTAATTTTTATGTTGAACGATATTTGCGCAAATGTTTATCAAACCATTATTGTTAGGATAACATAAACTAAATTAAAATGTAGTGCACAGAAGCAGACTATAATACCCATTTTTTGGGTAAAATATGAAAGATGGGATCACGTCTAGTGTTGGGTTCGAACATCAGTAGTTTGTGTGTTCGCCGAACATACAAACTATAAGGGTGTTCGGCGGGCTGTTGGACCGCTGAATGCCCCACAAGGCAATGCGCCTTGTGAAGCCCTAATAGACTAAAGGCCTGCAGGCATGTGGCCTGGTATGGGAGGAAGGCCACTCGCTCACCCCCCCTTTCCTTACCTATGCACGGATCAAGTATCTGGTATGGAATTTTAGGGGGACCCCACGTCCCCGTCCCCCCATTTTTGGGGATGGGGTTCATCCTTAAAATTCCTACCAGAACTTAAGGGCTTGGTATAACTTTAAGGGGGAACCCCACACGCATTTTTTTTTTACACGGGGTCCCTCCTAAATATTCTTACCAGACCTTAAGGGTCTGGCATGATGGGGGGAACCCCACACTTTTAAAAAACATTATTGGTCCGTCCTAACATTCCTACCAGACCTAAAGGTTCATTTTTATTGTTAGCCTTTAAGCAATGTTAAAACCACTGCTCCTTTAAAAGCGGTATTTTTTTAAAAAGTTTTAAAGTTAAAGGTTTTTTTTCATTGATTCCTGTCCCCCAGGGCAGTACCCGAATCCCCATACATCTTTTTTGGCCAATAAATTGCATATATGGCTTCAAAATGGGGACATTTGATTTTCAATGTTCTACCCCCATAGACTTGCATTGAGTTTGAATATAAACTTTGCCCATGTTCAAAAGCTTGAATTTGAACCAAACAGGGGGGTGATTGGCCCATCATTAGTCATGTCGGGTATATAGATACCAAACATGTCAAGCCATAAAATTGCGTTCGCCCGTGAAGCCGCAAAAAAAATCAATACCCGAAATCTCCCACAGGGAACACTTTAAACGCTTTTACCGCTCATCAGTTTAGTGCTAACAGTCAATAATGGCTCTAGAAGTATTGCTCTCACTCCGCCATTCGTGTAACATGTGTAGCGCAATTGTCGTTTTCGCACGTAGGCGCACCAACGTGCTTTTACGTGTGTATGTGTATGCACGTGGGGGGGCTGGGACTTTAAAACTTTTTTCTGTGCATTTTTTTATTTTTCTTATGTTACTTTTATTGTTTTACATTTTTAAACACTTTTTTTCTTTTTTACACTAACCTTATTGCTATCACAGGGGACTAACAAGCCCTCTATGTAATAGCAGATAGGGTGTGACAGGCCCTCTTTATGGAGACATCAGGATCTTTCAGACCCCTAATGTCACCTAGGGACCCCAAAGAAGCTGAGGAAGCAGAGATCTGCTTCCCCAGCTTCTTCTCCTGGATCTAAGAGCTGAAGAATGTAAACAGTGACACCGGAAGTGATGTAATGCACATAACTTCCGGATCCAGTGTGCAGGGAGACCCCCCGAGCTGGTCCCGTTTACTGCACGGGGACAGCAGAGCCTGGGGAAGCCAACGGAGGCCCCGGAGGGGGGGATTGGGGACAGCGCCGTTCGGTGCAACGCCGTTCGGGTTGCTTGTACATTAACAGCCATCGCTGGCTGTTAAAAAATGACACAAAGAACACGGCTGCAGCAAAAACTGTTGTTTTAACCACTTCTATGGGCCCACCATATAAAGGCGTATGTTGTTATTTATAGGGGCTAGCTTTTCTAAAAACAGGAAAATGTTAAGCTTTAAAATGCATTAAACCCATGCTGGGATTCTACAATCACGTTGGAGTGTACAACACCATCAATTTAATTTGTTACTGTAATTATGGCTGTAGTGTTTTGCTGAAACGTTTAAAACAGAGCATTTTGGATTAGGTTGACAGCAGGGGCATGCAGAGGAATCTTTTGGGGGAGGCCCAGCCTTATTTGTTAAAGCTGAACTTCAGAAAATTATTTAAAATCCAGTTCATAAAATTGTTTAAAAAAAACAAAACTATATTTTACATTAAACTTACATCCATTAAGCCACATTGATTGTGGCTTAATGGGCGTAGGTTTAGATAAATGCGCAGGGTTTCACAAGTGTCAATTAAGAGGCAGTTTGAGAACCCAATTGTTGATCATAGGTGTCCATTCAAATTTCCATGATGATGTTAATCATTTTAAAAGATAATTTTAAAGATTGCAGATGTGTTTCATATGCTTACTTTCACTGACTCTTTATTAAAACTCTTCAACAAATCAAGTTACTATGAATTTTGTCTATTTTTACAAAGTTCAAAAGCATGAGAACGCTGAACCAAGAAAGCATTGTGCTTCACAGTTATAAAAGTGCTTAATTGTTATAACACACTACCTGTGGAAAGCAATGTCACTCATCCACATGCAATGCAACATGTCCTTACCTTAACTAGCCAGTCCGGTATCAGGAGAGACGACATGGACCAATACAAAGGTCTGCAGTTCCCTTAATAGCAGTCACCATGTGGGTAGCTAACAGCTTCTGTAACTTGTTTGATTAGTAACCTATAACCTGCAAAGGTGGAGCTTAGACACAATCTGAGAGCTAAAAATAATACATAGGCTAGTGGTTCTGGGACAGGGATAGCATGAGCTAGATAGGCAGATTTGTCTGTACATTTTCTGCTTGGCCAACAATTCTCTAAATAATGAGGAAATCTTTATCTTGTTGATCAACCTAACAAGAAGCAGAGACAATATTGATTCTTGCTATGGGAAACTTGTATGCAGATCTTCCTTGCAAAGCCATTTTGCTCTGTACTTCCACAATCTCCATACATGAGACTACTGAAGTCATGGCACTCTCCTTCTTCATCCACAGTGCTGGCTATATTCTTCATGGTAACCTCAGACACTGATGAGGATCTTGCAATAAATATTTGTGAGACTTGAGACATGTTAGACATACATGTGACATACAAACATGTGACGTGGTAGAAATGTCACAAGCACTCCAATAAGAATTTCAGTCAATGTTCTTTATTGACAAAATAATTGTCACTTTGTATAGCGATGTTTCAGAACCGTTTAGGTCCCTTCTTCAGGCAAACAAAGTGTAACAATCAAAAACAAAGTGCAGTTATATATACACAGTAGTGAAACATCAAAAACCAATCAGAAACCATTGGAACCTCAGTGTGGTTGGCACTGCCCTACTAAAGGCCAAAGAAAGAGCCCAACATAAAGGGGTGCCCAAGGACACAAATAGGATCCCATTCGTACAGACCTTTTAATGACATGTCACAAATCATTCATAGGACCACACTGAAAAACATGAATATCCTGCAGGCAGACAAAAACCTGACACCAGTCATAAAAACAGCACCACTTTAGGTGCATCGCTGTGATAAGACATTACGGCAGTGGCAGAACTACCGCCGGTGTGGCCGCACCGGGGCCTCAGCCCTCCAGACACAGTCCCTGTGCATAGATGGTGGGACTCGCCGGCCGCCGGATAGCACCGGATCGGTATCCAGCGGCCGGCGGGCCCCCCATCTCTGCGCCGGGAGTGTTGAATCATCCGTTCAGAGATGGGGAGATGGGGGGACTGTGCTGGGCCCCCCCCAGGCTGAGGCCTCGCGCTTCCGGGGGCCTCGCGCCCACCAGACTCACCCGCAGTCACCAACGCAATGATCTGCATGCGCTGCTGTATGTACGCCCCTTCACCGAGCGGGAGTCCCGGTAAACGCTGATGTACTTCCGCCAGCTCACAGCGCAGCATGAAGAAACAGTCGCCGGCTCAGAAGCAAGTGAGGGAATCGGGGACATCGGATATCCCTGCCCCCACACAATTCTACAGTTCTGCCACGCCAGGATCGGAGGTAAGAGATGCGATGAAGAATACGACCCTGCACCGAGCGGGAGTCCCGGTAAACGCTGATGTACTTCCGCCAACGCACAGCGCAGCATGAAGAAACAGT